TTGAAAAGTAAAAGTGTGAACCTAAGAATCTCTGTTTTATTCCACTCTCTCCTAACCTGCTAAGAACACCTCCTCCTGGGAGTAAACCACATTTTTGAAAGTACAGAATGGGAGAACTTGTGAAATTCCTTAAATAAGTGTTTTATAAACCTGCTGACGGGCAAAGAGCTGGAATACTTGTCACTAGGTCCTTCTCGATGTTCTGCATCTGTAATCTGCACAAGACCCAGGAAATCACAAATGTCTCATGCAAGTGTGGCAGACATCGCTCTGAGTCAGAATAACAATTGTTAGTGTTAATTAAGAAGGTTTAATTGAGCTAACTCTCAGGACTGTGGTTAATGCAGATGTATCTCTCTGTCAGCATCTTGATCAAGGTTTTTACTCTTACACTTAAAAACGTTCTTCTCTTACGTGAATGAGTGTTACTGAGAATCAGAGAAGTCTCAAACATAATCACAGGATTTTCATATAATATTTCTGTGAAGGTTTTTTAAAAGATCCTGTGTTACAGAGCTAAGGCCATTGAGTCTGTCGCTGTGAGTCTAGAATGGGACAGAAGTATGAGTGTATCTTGTAAACCTGTCTTTAGCTACCCAGGAACCAATTGATAAGAAAGACTGTGCAGCTAAGTGAAAAAAGTTGACTTCTGGGGAGCAAGGTCAGATTCCCTGAAGAGTTAGGGGGAAACAGAGCCAGAATGTGGGTGTAAGGCAGATCCTGGAGAAGAGGTCGTTGTAGAGGATAGGGCAAGCTAGAGTGAAATGCAGAGACCACCAAATCCAACAGCTGGCTCATGAGGCTAGAGCTGAAGTGGTATAGCCAGAGCTATACCACGGAGTGGTGGTATAGGAAGTCAGATTTTCTTCTTTTTTAAGATTTATTTTTATTTATTTATGCATATAAGAACTGGGGTGTAGACCAAAGATGTGGGGGATGAAAGGATTCACCAGAGACAGAGTGGGGAACAGAACAGGCAGATCTACTGAAATACACTACTGAGGGGAGCAGCAGGCAAGACAGGAGAGGTCTGCTGTGCCATATGGGTTAGCTCCTTGACGGGGATTGAACTCGTGCTGCAGTGGCTGGCAATAGCTTGATAGTGCTGAGACTTTAACCCCTGTGTCACCAGAGAGGTCCTAGAAGTCAGATTTTCTAATGACGGGCATACAGAGACTAGGAGAGAAGGCATGAATCAGGGCGAGACAGGATAAAATTTGCAAACACAGATTTCAGTGGCTGTTTCATCTTCTCAAAATGTGTAATCAATGGTTGACTTATCCCAGGTAAATGTGACATGAGTGAGCAGTCTTAATATGTGCATTGGTAAAATGATAATGGAAATGTGAATGAAGAATAAAATAGGCCTGCTAGGATATGTGTTTTTTTTTTCTGTTTATTTATGGATGGGTACTTATTTCTTCCTTCAAAATTTCAGAGACAAAAAGACTTACTCAGGGAGAGAGTTAATGTTTTCTTCTTGGTACCATTGTGAGTATAGAATTCTCCAGGCATCCCACATAACTGGCAGCACTACTATCATATCTAGCTGAGTAACTCTCTTTGCCCTTACCAGGAGCCATTTTCTTAGCACATTTCCTCTTAGATGTCTGTGTTTATAGCAAGCTTAGATCATATAGCACTCGTCAAAATAATTTGGCAATAATTGACCTAAAGACTTCTTTTCTTTTTGAGGGCCAACCAGCTATTCTTACATTTCTGGGAAGGATCAACTGCAATGAGGCTCCATTTATAAACAAAGTAGATTAACCATTCTCATATTACAAATACAAAATCAGAAATCATAAGCACTGAGAAAACATATGTACAATATCACAGCTTGCGTAAGGCTTTTAAACTTTTCCTGAGTCGATACCTTTATTCTCAAATGATTTTCATCCCTCTTTGTATTTATCCAAATTGGAAATGACATTTAGCGTTTACATTGTCTTTTATAGAGTCAAAGCACTTAGCAAACTTTAGCAGAGCTGGTTAAGTTGCTTATAACTCACTACAATGGCTCATGATGATTAGGAGCAGCTGTAAAAAGAGTAAAAAGGATAAGAGCATAGTTTTTGTATTTTGTTAACTGCTTCCTAGAATAATGAGCGTGCCCTATGAATGGTACAGATAGTGGCTAATACTTACTGTTCATTATATGCAGGCCCTCTGCTAAGCATATTGCATGAGAATATCTCATCTTTTCTTCCTAACAGCCCTGTACGTAGGCAGTATGATTACTCCCATTTACAGTTGAAATGAGCAAGATTTGAAGTGGTGAATAACTTGGCCACATCTAGGAACAGGAAGACCTGGGTTCAAATTCAGACTCTAAGACTCTGGCACTCATATTCCTCCCTACCACAGTCTGGGGTCTCTTATGACCTAGAAATGGTTTTGGGGAGAAATATAGCCCTCTGAGCCTTGCTCACAAGCTCAGAACCAGCCCACGAAGGAGCTCTGTACACAAAGGAGCAGGTACAGTAATGGCATAAAAAGTCAGATTTTTCTAATTTCTACTTTGGGTAACTTTTGTCCATTTCTTCTGATACTGCAACTGCTTTTTTTTTCAGATTCAATGCTATTTATGCATTTGGTTTCATAGAGCGAGCAATAACTTGTTAATGTGTGTTTGAGTTTCATTATCTGTCTTGGGAATGAGGTTTCTCAGGAGGTGGGAACCACTTGTGAATCTGTAGAGTCTGAACATAATCAGTGGCCACTTAGTTCAGAAGCCATTGACACAGAGCAATGGACAGGGCGGGACTGGAGCAGGAAACTCAGGCACAGCGCTCAGTGAAAGGACAAATGGACGGCCTATGATGGGAGTTGGATATGTGGGGGCTTAGCCTTTCCTGTCTTTGGGCTAATCATCCCAGTAACTGTGCTGCATCCTATTTATGTCATCCTTTTCACCCCAGTGGATTTTGGATGCATTAACCATTTCCCCTCAACTTCAAATTTCCTCATATAGCTGGTGGGAAAAAATATTTCCATTCTATCTCCTGACTCCAACCATTCCTCTTATAGTTATAAATTTTACTTACTTTGGGTAGAAGTAATCATTGTAAAATGACTAGACTGATTTTGAAAAAGACCCTTTATATATAACTTTACTTTCCTTATCTTGGTGACCGTGTCTTAAGAATGAGGACACAGATGTGCTGGAAACCATTAATAAAGATGATTTTTATAAAACCTTGAAATGAAATGTTTTCCCTTTTCAAATGATTCCTGGAATTTTTTCTAACCTTTCATAGAATTTGATTCTACTATGATATTTAATCCCTTTCTCTTGTAGAAGAGTATTCTATTTTTATAGCACTTTGCATGTTTTACTTGTCATCTTGCCCATATTTCTTTTCCTTTTTTTGATGGATCTTAATTTTTATTATTTTATTTTGTGGTTGCTGTAAGAGGGTTACTTCAAGTTTCTATTTATTTAAATTGCCATTAAGTGCTAGGTATCAAGAGCAGAATACTTTTATAAACTTAGAATTTCTAAATCTGTCCATGAATATTAAATATCTGGACATCGATCTATATCTTGTCATAGGTACATTAGAAAATGCACCTCCCCAAGATTTAGAGACAAAACTATCTACTAATGCAATCCTAAGTTCACTGTAGATGATGCTTGGTAGATATTTTCTAAATTGAGAGTAAGCTTGGCTAGATATTGCAGTATAGTTTTAGAAGTGATTTTCAATTTTAGAGAATACATAGAACACTGAGAAAAGTGGATATATTAGACAATGGAGAGAAAAAAATGATGAGCTACTTGGCTGGTGGCTTTATTATTACTGTTTAAGTTAGAAAGTGGGTGAAATATTCAGTAGGATAAAGAAGCAATATCAGCAGTGATAAAAGTAGACACATAAACAGCATGGTGACCACTGTACCTGGCCTCAGCCTATGTAGGGCATAAGGAGAAAAACACACTCATGCTTTTCCTATTGAGAAAAAAATAAAATGAAAATAATGGTCAAAATAAGAATAATAAGAACAGAAGGATAGGCAAGCTTGCCTCATGGATTTTTTTTTTTTTTTGGAAATATTTTCTTCATAATGTTTTGAAACTTATGCCTTGTACTTAGAAGAATGATGCTAAGTCTACACCCCCCTAGGGTGGAGCAAAGGGTTCAAGGGTTAAGGGAAAGCAGTTGGAGAGCATGGCTTTGACCAGGGCTCAGAGGTGGCAGCTTTCAGCAATCCTGGGCCTTCCAGTGGTGGGAGGTGCTGACTCCATGACATCTGAGAAGACGGAAAGGTAATTAACCAATAAGAGACAAGGTGTTACTGAAAAGTGGAGTTTGCGCACCTGATTACTAATTAATCAGGCGTGAGAGCACCTTGTAGATGCATTCACTATTTAATTATAGCAGTCTCTCTTGGCGAAGGAGCATATGTTCCCAGCTTAATCTACTGGTTTATACTGACATCAAATTGTCATTATCAGAAAGAATCAGGCCTTTTGATTATTTCCACTAATTTATTGAACACTTAAAATTAATGAACCCCAGGCCTTTTAAATGTGCTCAGTTGGTTTGGAAGATGGGAGGAGAGAGGGGGGTGGAGAAAAAGCTTTCATTAAAAGGACAATTTGTTTGGGTAAAGGTAAAGCAAGTACATTTCATGGGTGATCTGAAATCTATTGGTGAAAAACATGAATTCTTAAAGCTGAGCCTTCAAGATGATGAAGAGAAAATAAGCCATGAGGTGTGCCCTCCTGGTCTCCAAAGATCAGAAGACTAACATTTTTTTCTGCTTCTTATTTTTTATTTGCTTATTCTTTAGAGACATCACTGCGGTTAAACTAAATCAAATAAAAACCATCAAAATCAAATGTTAGAAATCCACTGTTAGATAAAAATAGTTTTATTTTGAAACTATTAAGGTTGGGGAGAATTTGGCGTAAAGTTAACTTTCTCAAATATTAACATCTTTCAATCATTTCATATTTCTCTGCATCAAACCAAGTTGTGACTTTTTATATTCAGTTTCAGGTGAAGGCCAAGTACAAGTGATTCTCCAAGTGAAGAAAGGTGTGCCTCCAACTATTTCAGGTGAGCATTAACCCACCAAATACAAGTACATGGTCCAGAAGAGTGTTCTCAAATAGTCCTACAAATTCCTTCCACCCTATTATTTATAACTATTATTTATAAACACGTATCAACCTAAGGCTTTTTATGTCTTATACCCTACAGCTAAAATAAGTCTGCTTGTCAAAGAGAGAAATAGGAAGGGAGCACTTATTTAAAAAAAAAAAAAAAACATTGTAAAGTAAGAAGAAAAACATGTAAATAAGTGCATTTCATAACTTATGGACCATATGTGCATAAGTATTTGATTCTAGATCTGCAGATGGGCCATTAGCTCCCCACCAAATGGAAAGAAAAATTCAAGGTATATCAAAACTTTAACTGTTCTTAGTAATTTCAGGAAATCAGGGTAAACAAATACCAAAGTCACAGGGGTCTGTGAAATCTTTGTAACTCATAAAAGCTAAATTCTCAAAGACTAAATGACTCAAAAGCACCTTCTAATGTATTTTGTTGTTTGTTTTTGTTTATCCAAAGTCAATTTAACAATACATTTGCAGCAGGGATAAATCTCTTAAAAGGCTCAGTTTTCCTTTGATTTCTTCTGGTTGTTTTAGACCAGGGCCATGCTAATCAGAAAATCATCTAATTTCCCTATTTAAATTAATAAATGGATGACGTAAAGGTACCGAACTAAGACTATAAACTAGAAGTACTGATGCTTCTTAGGCTAGGAAGAACATGATTTTTTTTAATCTTCAAAACTGTTGCTGAGCTGCCCTAGTCTTTTGCTTTTTTTGCCCCTGGCCTTTAGCCTTCTTTACCCTTTAGGTGGCTCAAAATGCCTTGTCTGCTGAGTGCCTTTTAAAAAAAAATTATTTATTTATGCATACAAGAACTGGGGTGTAGACCAGAGGTACTGTGGGGTGAGAGGATTCACCAGAGACAGGAGACAGAACAGGCAGATCAACTGAAATACACTGCTGAGGGGAGCAGTGGGCCAGACAGGAGAGGTCTGCTGCACCATATGGTTGCTCCCCCGCCAGCCGAAAATCAAACTCATGTTGCAGTGGCTGGTGGTAGCTTGATAGCTGTGTCTTTAACCCCTGCACCACTGGGGAGGCCCTGCTGAGTGCCTTTTATATGAGGTGAGGGGATAGACTGCCATGATGGGGTCTTATGATCACCCAGGAATGTTAATCAAATGCCAATCAGTAAATATGTTTCCTTTAAAATGATTGTTACCAGGGAAAAGTGTCTTACAATTTTTATCTTTCTGAAAGCTGTGTGTTCAAATTCCCCAAGAATTTGATTGGTGGGATCAGTCCCCGTATCCTAGAGAATGTACCTGTAGGGGGCGTTCTCATGTCAGGTTCCCCGGGAGATGCTGGCCTGCAACCATTCTCATGCAACCATTCTCTCAGCTTCTGGTCAGTCACATGGCACATAGTATGGAAATTTCTAAATGAAAGTGTCTTTAGAATGACCCTGTGGGCAGTCAGTATCCCAGCTTTTCAGCAAGGGTCAGCTTAACAGGGAGATGCTTGGTCTGGCAGTTACTACATGCTGAATAAACTGAAAGCTGATGCTCCACAGAGTTGTAGAATTTTAGTAAGCGAAGGAGCCTCATCTTAGCCTGTCCAATTGCATCATTTTACTCAGGAATATAGAATTTACTTACAGGCCTGTGGGTCAGTGGCACGACCCACACAAACCAGGCTTCTGTCCTAGGGATCTGGGGCAGTAGGGAAGGGAGAGGTCAGGGGTACTGGGATCTTGACCAAAATTCACACACCTATAGTTTTTAATGTGTCTAATTTATTTAAAGATTTGGAAAATAGATCAAAGTCTGAGTATCTTAAATCTTAAAGCCATTTCCTTCTCAATGGGCTTTTTGAATGATTTCGCCCAATGCCTTTCCTTCCTTAATTTTCACTTTTATCCCCAGTGTTCCCACATTTGACCATTGTCACCTTGATCACCATGCCCCGATTGCCACATTCAATAACTTCTTCATTTTCCCTTTCTTATTAAAACTTTGCTGCTGTCAAGATCACTTTTGCTCTCTAGAGATGCTCTATTTTTTAGGGTTCTAAGACATTCCTCTCCCCTGGTTCTCATTGTGTATCTCTGGCTGCTTTTTCACAACTCTTAGTAGTCTTCTTTTTTGTCTTCCCACCTTTCTATATTAATAATAGCCATATAGAAGCCTGATATTAACTGTATAGAAATCTAATAACTCTGCAAGAGACTGAAACATGTTTCCTTCCCCATTAAGTGTTCTTGTCTGAGGGCAGGATGGCATTGAGTGCTCAAATTCATTCATAACAACATCCCTTAATATGGCCCCTGCAACATTCTGTTTGTTCAATTAAAGACAGTTTCAGCCCTTCTATAAACAAAAGTGAAGAATGTTTGTTTTCCACATCTGTGATATAAAATTGGAGTAATTAGGGGTTTTTGAGACTTGACATGAAGTTTTAAAGAACCTGATCATTATCTATTTGAAATATCACCAGAAATAAGGTGTGTCAGACAATTCTTACTGGCCTCTGTGATACTAGTTTTTGGTCACTTCAATAAATGCTCCCTACCCTCACTTGAATATTTAAGTAAAGTATTATGAAGGAAGTGAAATTTGGAGGAAACTTAGTAAGATATTATAGTATTGGCATTTATGAAATATTTACATAACCTCTTTTTGAGTGAGACTTCTTCCAAGATGTTGCCTGATATTTTGTGCTAATTAAATTACCTAAGATTTCTACTTGACCACAATCTACATACTTTTTAATTATCCTGGAACCTTAATTAGATCATGACTAGTTGGGAGTGGGGTTTGGATAGACAAAATAACTGGATGCTCCCCATGGTTATCACCTCAGTCATTTTTTCTTTTCATTCAATAATCCTTTAGAATCATCATAACTATGATCAAATTTTTGAAATCCACCTCTCGGTAGACACCAAAGTCCATCTGTCTGACTTAGAGCTCTCTCCCATCCTTCAGATTCATATCCATCCCCTGTTTCCTGTATCTCTACCTGGAAGTTACACAGGTATCCCAAAATCCTTCACAACCCAAACAATCCATCTATGCCAGTCTTAACTGGCCACTCACCCATTATCACCCGTGCTGAAAACCTGGCAGTCACCCTTGATTCCTGCATCCTTGTTACTCTTCACACTGATTATTTCTCTAATTTCATTGCTTGCCTCCTTCCAGCTCAGCAACAACAGGTTGCTTATAGTGCTTCTACTTGATCTCTCATTTCTTGCCGTTGCTTGTTTCTGTTGGGAATGCACACCCTCACCATATACTCTCCCCATACTCCTTACGGATATAGCTCCTAAACCTTTAAAATTCATCTCAGATGCACACTCCTTAGGAACCCTCCCCTGGCAAGGACTCTCTTCCTCCCTTGGTTGGGTACCATTGACAAGAACTTCCCTTAGACTTCCGTCCTCTTAATAATAACTTACACAACTTATACAATGTTATTATCTCCTTGGGGATGAACGTGGAATAGTCTTCTTTTTGTTCTCATCCCTTTTTAGAACAGTTCTAAAGAGAAGGATCTCTATTTATGATTGCAAATTTAGTAAGTTTGAATGAGATTTGCCCCCCTCCCATTCATGTGAGTTCTTGAAACTCCCAGCAAATCTCCCTAACCTGAGAAGAAATCACTTTTCATGTAATGAATATATTTTCCCTAAAAGACTTAATTCCATTGATGGCTTATTTTGGACTTCTTAAGGTAATCCTGAATAAAAGAAGGTCTTTACTGGGGAAAAACACTTGGTCATCTGTGAATCTTCTCAGACTCCTTGTGGGGATAATTCTCTGTCCTCTGACTTTGTACTGGGGCATACACTCGAGAAAAGAACACCTAGGCACACTCAGCATGCTATTGTGCAAAATGTGATATGGGACTGTGGCCCTTGGAAATTGTTAGATTTATGTTTCAGTTCCATGATGCAGAAGACAGGGAGATGGTTAGAAAGAAAATGTGGGCCTCCCTGGTGGTGCAGTGGGTTGAGCGTTGTACTGTGAAACTGTCCGCAGCCTCTGCAGCGCGGGTTCGATTCCTGGCCGGCCAGGGAGATTCCCACACGGTGTGGCAGGCCTCTGCTGCCTCACCCGCTGCTCCTGTCAGCAGTGTCTTCAGTCCACCTGCCTGTTCTGCTCCTCTTTCTGTCTCTGGTGAATTCTCTCACCCTCCCATGCCTCTGACTGTACCCCAGTTCTTGCATAAATAAATCTTAAAAAAAGAAAGAAAGAAAGAAAATGTCATTGATCTATAAGAAGCTGAAACAATGGAAAGCTTTTTGGGTCATATGAACTGTATATAAGTTACTACAGTGAAAGGTGTCCAGGCTATTACGCCTCCTCTAGCACGCATTAGAGCTGTGAGAAGATCCTTTAACTCAGTGATTCCATTACTAAGATTATTTTTTAAGAAGAAACCAGTGTTATTGGAAGATTTTGCATGGAGCCAGTTAGTACTACATTACTTTTAATTTAAAAAGAAAATGGAAATGGTCTAAATGCCAGAGTCACTATTGAGTAAATCATGAGTGCCTGATCATAGAATATTATGTAGCCATTAAAAATGTTTACAAGGAGTTTTAAATATATTAGAAAATGCATGTGAAAACTGCTGAGCTAAGTAAATAAGAATTGTGTGTGAAATTGCATATATGATATAATTTCAATTACTATAAAAATGTTGAGAAATTCTGAAAGGAAATGCAAATAAAAGGTTAATGACATTTGTCTCTAGGCAGTGAGATTGGAGATGATTTTTTTTTTTGCTTTTTCCTTCTATATTTGCAAATTCCAAATGTTCTAATGAATAATTACTTGCTTTGTACTGACAAATGATTTTTTTGAAGATTATGAAATATCAAAAGGCAGCTACTGGGCCTCCCTGGTGGCACAGTGGTTGAGTGCTGGGCTGCGAAGCTGCCTGCAGCCTCTCCAGCGCTGGTTCTATCCCCGGCCGCGTCCCACATGGTGTGCAGACCTCTCCTGCTGTGCCTGCTGCTCCCCTCAGCAGTGTATTTTATCAGTCTGTCTGTTCTGCTCCCCGCTCTCACCCTTCTGCACTTCTGACTGTATCCAGTGCTTGTATAAATAGAGCTAGAGCGGGGAACAGAACAGGCAGACTGATGAAATACACTGCTGAGGGAGCAGCGGGTGGCAGGAGAGGTCTGCGCGCCATGTGGGACCCTCGCCTGGTGGCCGGGGATAGAACCAGTGCTGCAGAGGCTGTGGGCAGCTTCTCAACCCAGTGCTCAACTGCTGCACCACCGGGGAGGCCCTAAATAAATAAATCTTAAAAAAAAAAAAAAAAACACTTTATTTAACAACAACAAAAAGGCAGCTACTTTGGGAGGCGAAAACATTATCAGCATCCTAAAATAAGAAAAGAAATTTGCAAATTTACAAGTTATCATAGTGTTTCAGATCATCATAATAATTGTTGTCATTTCCCTTTTGTTTTCTAGCTTCTACCTGTGAACCTGAATCAGCGTTAAGATGGTCCTTCCCTGAAGCATGGTCAGGTATTGAAGAGGGATGGGGAGGTTACAACCACACCATTCCAGGCCCTGGGGATGACGTCCTGATTTTACCCAGTAAGTAAAACCATTTATGAATTAAATAATCATACACAGACTGAAAAAGTTCAAGATAACTGGGGGATTATCAGTCTTTTAAATACATTGTACAACACATTATAAAAGCTACAAAGAAGCAGGCACTTTTGCCTACAACCTTCTTTTGTTAAGTTTAATATAGGAGAGGAATTTCATAATCCAGTAGAATCCAGAAAAAATGACAGCCTACTTTCATTAAAGATGGAAGACAGCTCCAAGAGAATTTAAAGTTATCCACAAACTGGAATAGTGGTTGTATGTGACAGAGGACAGTTTTACAGCAAATTCTAGTATGCCTGTGTTTGAAAGGCAGAGAATGTATGAAGAAGCAATTTGCAAAGGTCTTATCTTTTGTCTTTATGAAGCTTTTATGCATAGAGTGATGAAATATGACAAATAAATTCTTTGGTTGCCATGATTTTTCAGAGATGCTGGAAAAGGAACAGATAAAACAGAAAAATAAAATTATCTATCTATCTATCTATCTATCTATCTATCTATCTATCTATCTATCTATCTATCTATAACTTTCTCCTTGTAAACATACAGGTAGAAGAAAGATGATTCCTCAAAGATACAGAAACACAGACTCATAAACTTCTTTCATAAGAGATAATTCTTAAAGATCTCTCCAGTCTGAGAAGTTATCCACTATTCCAGTTTGTGGATAACTTTAAATCCTCTTGGAGCTGTCTTCCATCTTTACTGAAAGTAGGCTGTCATTTTTTCTGGATTCTGTTTTTCATAGAAGAAATATATTTTTCCTAATTTCATTTTGGGATTAATTTGAACTTTTTTTTTTTTTTGAAAAGAAAAACATGATATTTTTATTTTATTTTTTTTTAATATTAAATTTTATTTTTATATTCCCCCATACAATTGCAAACGCCCCATTCTGACCCCAATCCTTCCCCTCCCCCCACCCCCCAAAAAGTGTCTCTGGTTCATAGTTTTTGGTTGATTTTGATTTTCACTTTCTTATATTCATTTTCCTGGTCCCTTATTTAAGTTTTCTAGATTCCTGCTATGAGTGAGACCATCCGGTATTTTTCTTTTTCTTTTTGGCTTATTTCACTGAGCATGATCCCTTCCAGCGCCATCCATGTTGCTGCAAATTGCATGTGTTTATCTTTTTTGAATGCTGAGTAATATTCCATGGTATATATGTTCCACATCTTCTTGATCCAGTCATCTATTTTTGGGCATTTGGGTTGTTTCCAAAGCTTAGCTATTGTAAACAGTGCTGCTATAAACATAGGGGTGCAGGTGCTCTTTGGAATTGATGTTTCTGTGTCCTTTGGGTAAATACCTAGGAGTGGAATTGCTGGATCATATGGAAGCTCTATGTTTAGTAGGTCCAGAAATCTCCACACAGCTCTCCATAGTGGTTGGACCAATTTGTACTCCCACCAACAGTGCAGAAGAGTTCCTTTTTCTCCACATCCTCGCCAACATTTGTTGTTGCTAGTTTTTTTAATATGTGCCATTCTCACTGGTGTGAGATGGTATCTCATGGTAGTTTTGATTTGCATTTCCCTGATTACAAGTGATGTTGAACATTTTTTCATATGTCTGTTGGCCATTTGCATTTCCTCTTCAGAGAAGTTTCTTTTTAGCTCTTCTGCCCATTTTTTGACTGGATTATTTTCTTTGTTGTTGCTGAGTCTCATCAGCTCTTTGCAGATTTTTGTGATCAGTCCTTTATCATTAGTGTTGGGTGCAAAAATGTTCTCCCAGTTGGTGGGGTTTCTCTTTGTTTTTGTTATTGTCTCTTTTGCTGTGCAGAAGCTCTTTAATTTGATGTAGTCCCAGCTGTTTATCTTTGTCTTCACTATCACTGCTTTGGGTGATGTGTCTGTAAAGATGTCTTTGATGTGCATATCCCGTAGTGTTTCGCCTATATTTCCTTCTATGTATTTTATGGTTTCAGGTCTTATGTCTAGTTCTTTAATCCATTTTGAGTTGATTTTTGTGTATGGTGTGAGGTAGTGGTCAAGCTTCATTCTTTTGCATGTAGCGACCCAGTTTTCCCAGCACCATTTATTGAACAAACTTTCTTTGCTCCAATGCATAGTCTTTGCTCCTTTGTCAAAGATTAGTTGACCATAAATCTGTGGGTTTATTCGATTCCATTGGTCTGTATGTCTGTTCTTGTTCCAATACCATGCAGTTTTGATGATTATGGCTTTGTAGTATAGTTTGAAGTCTGGGAGTGTGATGCCTCCATTCCCTTCTTTTTTTTTCAGTAGAGCTTTGGCTATTCGGGGTTTTTGGTGATTCCATATGAATTTCATCAATAATTGTTCTATTTCTTTGAAGAATGCCATTGAGATTTTGATTGGAATAGCATTGAATCTGTATATTGCTTTTGGTAGGATGGCCATTTTAATAATGTTTATTCTTCCAATCCATGAGCAGGGGATGTCTTTCCATTTCTTTGTGTCTTCTTCTATTTCTTTTAACAGTGTTTTATAGTTTTCTTTGTATAGGTCCTTTACCTCTTTTGTTAGATTTATTCCCAAATATTTGATTTTTTTTGTTTCGATAATAAAAGGGGTGGTTTTTTTGATTTCTGATGGATTTACAAATGAATTCTACCAAACATTCAAAGACGAATTAGTGCCTATCCTTCACAAACTCTTCCAAAAAATTGAGAAGGAAGGGACCATACCAAACACGTTCTATGAAGCCAATATTACACTAATACCAAAACTGAATAAGGACAACACAAAAAAGGAAAACTATAGGCCAGTCTCCCTAATGAACACTGATGCAAAAATCCTCAATAAAATTTTAGCTATCAGAATCCAACAATGTATCCATAAGATAATTCACCACGACCAAGTTGGATTCATTCCAGGGGCACAAGGATGGTTTAACATCCGAAAATCAATCAACGTTATCCAACACATCAACAAAAAGAAATATAAAAACCATATGATAATATCAATAGATGCTGAGAAAGCTTTCGACAAAGTGCAACACCCATTCATGATAAAAGCCCTTGAAATTCTTGGGATACAAGGAACATACCTCAACATCATAAAGGCCATCTATGACAAGCCAACAGCCAGTATCATTCTCAATGGTGAAAAGCTGAAAGCAATTCCATTAAGATCTGGAACAAGACAAGGATGTCCACTCTCACCACTGCTTTTCAATATAATACTGGAAGTCCTAGCCAGAGCAATAAGACAAGAGAAAGACATCCAAGGAATCCAAATAGGAAAAGAAGAAGTCAAACTATCACTATTTGCAGATGATATGATAATATACATAGAGAACCCCAAAATCTCCACAGAAAAACTAATTCAACTCATCAATCAATTCAGTAAAGTGGCAGGATATAAAATCAACACCCAAAAGTCAGTAGCCTTCCTATACACAAATAATTTGAACTTTTAAAGACAATACTGAATAAAAGAATACCTGCATTGGGCCTCCCCGGTGGCGCAGTGGTTGAGCACTGGGTTGAGAAGCTGCCCGCGGCCTCTGCAGCACTGGTTCAATCCCCAGCTGCTCCCCAGCCACTGGAGGAGGATCCCACATGGCACACAGACCTCTCCTGCCACCTGCTGCTCCCCTCAGCAGTGTGCTTTGGTCCTTCTGCCTGCTCTGCTCCCTGCTCTGGCTCTGGTGAATTCTCTCACCCTCCCGCGCTTCTGACTGTACCCAGTGCATGTATAAACAAAACAAACAAACAAATAAATAAATAAATAAAACACGCCTCTATTAAAAAAAAAAAAAAGAATACCTGCATTGGAAAAAGAACAATTGACCATCACAATAATGTTTGCATCATAACAATGGTAGTGTTCGCTGATAACCAAGAACATGGAGTGGGTTATTCTCCACATAGGAACTGATTTAATCCCCACAATAACTCTGCGGTATAGGTAATAATAGTTTCCCCATTTTTACCAACAGAGAAACAGCGGCCCAGAAAAGTTAAATGACTTGCCTAGGGCCACACAATTTGTAACTCAGCAGAGTCAGAATTGTAGTCCAGTCAGTGTGATTATAGGTCTGTATTCCTAACCAATAAAATACATCCCCTCTTTAAAACAACTAAGAATAAACTAAAAGAGAATAGTTGTGTTGTTTGCTTCATTTATGATGAAAATGAAGGCAGAATGATCAAATTGTGCTGCCCACCATCTACACATTGCTGGTATGCTGTGTAACTGTGTATAGACAGATGAGGGGTGGGGGAAACTAGACTAGTGTTATCATCCAACTTCTCTATCACCCACCTCTTTCAGCAAAGGATGTAACTTTCTGAATAAACAGACTCATGAGTCATTCCTATACAGAAAGGAAAAATATGTTCTATCTTAGCCATCTCTTTGATGAATCTAGCCAGCGGATTGGCCCTGGGCTATGGTTTTTCCCATTAAGCAAGTTGTTTTCCCCACCCCATGCAGGAAGCAAGAGAAGCTTTTGAAGGTTGCCAAGCTTTTAGTATCCTTTGGGATCTTCAAGCTGAGCAAGGAGTAATCTCAGCTATCTTGCTTGGCACTGCAGTTGACTGCATCCACTATGTGCCCAGGCTGCCAGGAGCCCCTGGCATCTTTCATCGCCTTCCATTCCTTTGTGCGTGGTCAGCTTATGAGATGGGTCTGCATTCTCCATGAAGCTGCTTTTAAGTAGCACAAATTAGTGCTTTAGAAATAAAAAGGGGGCCCTCGGTTTGGATCTATAAAATACCTCCCAGCCCCTTCTTATATATTGATTATTGTGAGAATCAGAGAAGATTTTAAAAGCATGCTGATATGCATTATTTCTAGTTTTCAAATGGAAAAATAAATGTATTAAAATGTACATGTAATCTCTTATAAATGGAGTCCGTACCCTTCCTGTTGCCCCTCTCTCTTTTCCAGTAAACCCTCTTTGTACCTCCAGCAAATTATTTCACAGTGGTCAGCATTTTAATTCTATGTTTCATTCAGATTTGGGTTTTCTGTAGGAACTGCTGTCAC